AAATAGCTGGTTACAGTAGTTTTAGTGGGTCATCTAGTCAATATAAAGTGTTATAAAACATTTGTTTGTTTAGTTCATGTAGTTTTACACTGCACAGCTCAAAACAGCTCCAGATGGTTTACGTGATTAAATGTACTAGCTGTGATCTAATCCGCCTTTGAAAATACAGTTTCACTAGTCTGTTTGCAAGGGATCTGCTACCTGATCCTTTCAATGGGAGATTCCAGGGGTTGAACATTGGGAACCTCTTCTACAATACTTTCATTTTCTGTGCAACTGCTTATGAATTTCCATAAGCTATTTTATGGTGCCTGAAAAAGCTGTTTCTCATTGTCATTCCTGAACCTACTGCCAGTCACCTTAATCAGATGATCCTGAATTCAGGTATTGTGTAATTGGCAGAAAGAAATACTGTTCTCCCAATCTTCCATGTCACTTGTAATTATATAAAACTCTCATAGTCTCTCCCCCAGAGGCCTGCCAGTCATTGTGAAAATTAGATGCAGTATTAACTGATCAGGACAGGCTACTGCCATAGAGTCCTTCTGTCTGAGATGGCTTTCCTGCCCCTAGGCAGGGCAAGCTGGGTCTGTGGTTCCATAAGAGAGCAATTCAGCTGCTTAGCAAGAAGAAATGCCTTTGCTTTCAAGGCATATTTCTCAAGTTTGCTCTGTCTGGCATTTACACGTCCCATCATCTGACCAGCAAGGCAAGAACACTTTTGGCTTTATCAAGACTGTTAAGGGGGGAAGTTTTTAGGAAGAAGAAGCTTTAAAAGCTACTTTCTGGAGACAGCTGAGATTTGTGGGGAGAAGAGGTTAAAGTTTGTGTGTGTGTGTGTGGGGGGGGTTCATGATGCTCTCTGAGCTTGGTTGTTTTCTTGCAGATGTTTCATTACCCAAGCCCAGTGAACAGATGATGTTACCTAGTTAGGGTAATGAAACATCTTCAAGAAAACAACCAAGCTCAGAGAGCACCAAGGACCCTTCATTTCAGCTCTGTGCTACAATACACACATTCTCCTCTATAGGTTGAAATCTAGCTCTTGGAGAACTTGGTAAAGAATAACAGGAGGAGAAGCTTAATCTTGAATAGTGAGTTTTGCACCAGCTCACTAGTTAGTACCAGGCCTTTAAGGTTAAAAAGATTATTAATTCCTGCTATTCTACATAGAGCCATAATTAGGTAGTCTAGTGCAGGGGTAGGCAACCTTGGCTCTTTTATGACTTGTGGACTTCAACTCTCAGAATTCCTCAGCCAGCCATGCTGTCTAGGAATTCTGGGAGTTGAAGTCCACAAGTCATAAAAGAGCCAAGGTTGCCTACCCCTGGTGTAGTGCAAGTGCCTTGGGAGGGGGGGAAGGGAAAGAGACAATGACATGTGTCTTGATAGCAGCACACAAACAACTTACATACTTTCATCAGCTGATAATATCATTATAATAATTTACATGATGTGATATGTGGGTTATGATTTTGATGTCATCACAACTTGTTAAGATGTCACTGCAGTAAAGAGAACAGGTAACAGGCTTGTGAGAATCTTAATAATCGGGATGCTACAGAAAATCATCTTCGTCAGAAATTCACATTTCAGGATTATTTTAGGGTTTAGGGAAAATCATTGCATTGTTTTAATTTCAATGCTGGGCTTTTTTTGGATTGTAGGTTTTACTAACTCTGCTTTACTAGTTGTTTTTTTTTTTTTTTTTAAAAAAAGCTACTTATGCATTGCCCAGAAGTAAAAGATTTAATACTATACTTTTGAACACTGAGTGTGTTCAATGCCAGTAATGGGTCTGGATGCATTTGTGCATCATGCTAAACCATTGTTTGTTGAACAAATCATAGTTACCTGATTTACTTGTAATGTTAAGTCATAAACTATGATTACAAGCTACAGTGGCTAGATTCATACATCGCACAAATAAAACAAAACACGCATACTGTGACAATATAAACCTATACTCAGGAGAATAGAATAACCCTATGTGGAAACCAATAGGGCCTGGTGGTGGAGCCCTCCAGCAAACAGCCTACTGAGAGTAATTGACAGTGGCTTCCCAGTCAAGGTGGTGAATATTTATCCATTTAGATGTGGGATCCACTAAGCATGTCCCTCTGGCAGTTCTTTTAAAATCTTGTTGAGTACTGAAGACTTGGTGATTAGAGCTGGGTTTTTTCTTCCATTTATTATTGAAGGCATAGTCAATTCTTCTTTTCAGCCAGGGGGAGAATAGAAAGATTTAAATCTTCAGCGCATGAGCTCAAAGAAAGTTACAAGCTGTTGAACTAGTACATGCACTAATACAGCTGCAGAAATTTCTCTGCTCCAAATGTCCCTCAATAGACAGTAGTATGACCTGGCATAATAAAATGTGATGGAGCACCCATGATTGTAAAAAGACCTGCTGAGTGCCTTTCTGTCTGACTGTCGGCTACACAGTGTTATATATAAGAGTATTCAAATGTAATTGCACGGAGAATAGAATCCTTCAGGAGATAGCAGTAAAGCAGAATTGATTTGCTCACATTAAAAAAAAGAATAAATTGACATTAGGGCTAAATGCTTCCTTATTCTATTCTCAAAACAGACAAATCAGTGTAAATTGCTACGGATTGCAAATACTTTTTCTTTAGAGCCTTCTTAGCCAAATTCTTTTTTCTTTTCTTTTGGCATTGTATATTGCCCAAATCAGGCTCTCTGCAGAGAAATTAGTAAAAACCTTTATATTCTGTAATTTTATTAACAGTTTTAAAAAGGAAGATAAAAACTAATACAAACTAATATAAAATAGGAAGGAAAAAATCAAAGAGAAAGCTATAAGTGCAGGAAAGGAGACATGGAAAAGAAAAAAGATACAAAGAAATGCTTCTGATCTTCTTTACAGTACTTTTAAGTACAATTATAAATTTATCTCTTTCTCTTACAAGTCTGTGTTTCTTCTCTTCAGTTTCTTCTATAATCTATCTTTCCTAATCATCAAAACCATAAACAATAAGTTCATTTTTGTGGAGTCTTTGGTGTTCTCTCAGCTGGGTTGTTTTCTTGCAGATGTTTTGTTGTCCGAGTAGGTTACATCTTCAGAGTGAGTAAAAGTGTCTGAAGCAATGCAAAAAAAAAAAAAAAAAAAGCTCTGAGATCACCAAGGACTCCATCGTTCAACTCTGAGTTACGTATATTTCTTCTGTTGATAGTTCATTTTCTTTGCTCTTTCACATAAAAAGTCCATAAAAATTTTCCAGTTAGCAATACAAATAGATAATGTATTTTCTCTAAAGAAAAAAGTCAATTTGGCCATGTCAGCAAGTTCCATCACCTTCACCAAGCATCCTTCCACTATAGGCATTGCTGAATCTTTCCAACTTTGTGCATACAATATTCTTGCTTATTTAAAAAGAGCTTTTTTTAAAAAAAAGTCTTTTTGATTTCATAGAAAGCCAAGATCTGAGGAAGAAGACGACAAAGTACCCATGTATGGCTGATTAATGTACTTATATAAAAAGCAAAGAAAATTTAGAGAATAAAAGCATGTTGTCCTGCATTGTTCTATAGCAGTGATAGCGAACCTTTTAGAGACCGAGTGCCCAAATTGCAACCCAAAACCTACTTATTTATCACTGGGTGCCAAGTGGGCGTGGCCCACTGGTGGGCGTGGCTGTGGTGGTCATGGCAGATTGGGTGGGAATGGCCAAGGTGGGCGTGATCACCTCGATGTTGCTCATGGGGAGGGATGCTTATGGGGGCCGGGCAGGGTTGGGGGAGATCCAGTGGGTCTTTGCCAGGTGAGGCGGTGGGCAAGAGGCTCGTCCTTTGGGGTGAGGCGAGGCAGGGTGGGGGTGCCATTGTCACAGGGCAAGGTGTGGCAGGGGCAGGGGCAGCTGCTTCCTGACACCATCGACCTCTACACACAGAGGCCAGTGAGCGCATGGATGCTGGGATGCATCTGGCCATGTAGGACCTTGGCGAGTTAGTGGGTGGCTGGTTGAAGAGGGACGGTTGCCATTTCCAGGGCATGTGTGCCCACAGAGAGGGCTCTGAGTGCCGCCTCTGGCACGCGTACCATAGATTTGCCACCACTGCTCTATAGCTTTACTAAATAGCAAAGTGATTCTCAAGTGGGAGAAAAAACAAATTATATTTTGACTGCTGCTATAGGATTGATATTTTAATATGTTTGAAGACATATTACTCTTCCCAGTTTAATACTCTTTGTTGATTTTTTAATCTTGAAAGAACAAATTAATGTTCCATAAATGTGTTAATTTGCAACTGCCAGAAGTTCAATATATTTAAAGGATTCTGAGAGTAGCATGAGAATGTAATTTCATTAGTTAGGTTGATAAGATTATTTTAGATAATTATGAGTTTATTTATTTTGATTGTCTTATACATTTTTCTTAATAAAACCAAGGCAATATACTTAAAAAAATGAAACTTCCAGACTAAGTTAAGACTGTGACATTAAAAATTAAACATTTTTAATTAAAGCTATATCTAAACCATTTAGAAGAAAATTACTTTGGATAGAACAATTTGCTTCCAGAAGTTTTGGATGCTCCATCACTGGAGATTTTTAAGAAGCCGTTTGTCCAGGACAGGATACAGAGTCTCCAGCTTGAGCACTGGGTTGGACTAGAAAACCTCCAAAGTCCTTCCCAATTCTGCTATTCTGTAATTCTGACCTCTGTACCTGGAAACTTTGTGCTCATAGTCCTGTAGTTTTTTGGACAACAGTATAGAAATGATATCGCTGCCTTTTTTCCAGGATCTTTCTTTGACTTCTTGTCTAGTCTTCAGCACTGATGGTCTCCCATCCTGCACAAATCAGATCTGACCTAATTAGCTTTTTGAGATCAGCTAGAATGTTGCCATTTATCCAGCCTTTAAAACAAATTAGTTTATCATTAGAAAGGATTATTAAGAAGGCACGCTGGCTGTTGTACTGTCTGTAAATTGAAGTATAATATCTTCCCTATCCCTTTCCCCCCCCCCTCCAGTATGGGCTACTGCATCCTATTGGTCCACGGCTTAAACAGGCTTTGCCTGTGGCTACATAAATGGGGAATCACCGCAGTGTCCTTCTCGGCTTTGCTGCTGCTTCTGTTCTCTTGGAAAACAGTGAAACAGAATGAAATCTGGTTGTCAAGAGAATCTCTTTTCAGGTAGGATGGCTTTAAAAGAACATGGAAAAGTCATGTTGGCTTTGTATGAGTATTCCAATGCCTTTCTATTCTGTATGTTTTTGAAACTGAAAAAGGATTCATTGGATTATGAGCTGGACAATATGTATTTTGATTACTGTATAGGCAGTCACAATAGCCAGTTTGGTGCAGTGGTTAAGGGCACCAGATTAGAAACCAGTAAATCCTGAGATTCCGTAGCTACAAAGCCAACTCTGGGACCTTGGGTCTAGGTTAGGCATGTTCATCCCATGGCCCATGGGCCACATACTAATGCCCCTCTCACAAGATTGTGAACTTTTAACATTATTATGTGACTTGTAATGATAGTTACTATAATATATATTTTATATGCAGCCCAAGACAATTCCCTTTCACTTAATGAGATCCAGGCAAGCCAAAAAGTCCTAGGATTAGACAAGGACAAACTACTTCTGAAAATCTGACCAAGAAAACTACAGAGACCAGACCAGGCAGTCACTAGGAGTCAAGACTGACTGACCCAAAGTCACACATTCAGACATACACAGACACAATCTGTAGCAGGGGAGTAGAAAGAAACTGAGTGGTGCAATCAGACATTTAAAATGCTGCCTTTTAAGTCTGTTCTAGTCTCTCCTTTATTCTTCATTTTTTCTTTGAGCCAAATGACCCAACTGGGAATGTGACGATCATCCTGTCCCCATTAAGTGTTTTTCACTGTGGTTTTATGCATACACGGCAAACACATTTATTTAATAAGCACCTCATACAAATACTTGAAAAAAATCAATGGCAGGAAATTTAATCAGAGGCTGCATGGGAGACAGTTTGTTATGGTAGAGCGTTGTATTAATGTAGATTCTCAAGGCAATAGAGAAAAAATAAATTTTCTCTCTCTCTTTATGATGAGATTCATTATGATAAATTAGCATTTTGGCTTGTTCCTCTCCAAATAAACCAGCACTGTTTGGTTTAAAATTTCGATTTGTTAAGAAAACGTCAAAGACCTTATGGAGAAGCTTCATGGTTGGTTACTGGCTGTCAGGAGGGCATCATCTGAAGCCTCAGGAGATACTCCAAGAATTTCTACCAAATTATTTTTTTAATGCAATAGAAGTGGAAAACTTAAATATGTGTAGACTAATGACAATGAAAGCAATTTGGTAACTTGAAGGCATGTGTAGTTTTCATAGCAATTGAATGGAAATTATTAATATTTGCTTTCTTCAAGATGTTTTTTGACTTCCCAGTCTAGTCTACAACCTTCCCCTTCTGCCTGCCAAACAGGTCCAATTTAAAGTAATTTCTTTTCATAGCCCCAACTGCTTTTTTTTCACCATCAACCTCCACTTTTCACAATGTGCCTATCAGCACACCACTCAAAAGCTAAGCGTGCTTCTTTTACTTCCATCCCTAATTTAATTTTCCCCCTAGACAGGAGAAGCAAAATCAGGGAATATGTGACTTGTTCATGATAACCTCTAGAACCAAGTGATTTCAGAACTGACCTATTATTTCATCATATAAAGGATCCCACAAAAAAAGGTGCCAAGCTTTGAATTACCACATCAGCAATGGACAACCCTGAATAGAATTCGCACTTCACACGGCATCTGCCAGGACTCTGTATAAATGGGACATAACATCCTCCCCTCTGTGTGACTGTGTGATCCCACGACAAACTGTAGACTACATTATGACCGGCTGTAAGCTTGGGGCATATACCAGTCCAGTATTTAATTTTTTAAATATAAACGATGCTGCACTTCAATAGTTAGAAGGCCTAGACATTGAACATAGATCTTTTTAACATTTATATTTTATTGTGTTCTAGTAATCTAGATGAAATGTTAATATATATTGCTAGCCCATGTATGATATGCCATACGCTAAATAAATAATTTCATCAGGTCTACTTACTTGTTGAAACACTACTTCTCTTAGTCCTAAAATGGGAGTTTTATGGGAAGCTGGTAATGTGTATTCTGTGTGGACAATCTGTGTCCTAAAAAATAAAACATATTCTTGACCCATAGCAGTTCCATCTCAAGTGGACTGTTTATGCATGGCACTGTGTTATAGGTTGGTCTGTGAGAAAGACCATAGCAACCTATTAGGAAGGAAATCATATTGTTCTCACACAGTATAACTGTGAGGTTTTTCCCCTTTTATTTCCTATTCTCAGCTAGTTCAATTGTTATATATTTTCTTCAGGGAACAATATCGGATTTTATTGGGCAAATGTTCATGGAAACTATGAGTTGGATTATTCAACGAGAAATGGAAAAAATGTTTCATTATTGTTCTTCACATTTTCCTGCGTGGCTATGTTATGCATACTTATATTTTCCTATTTTAATTAGAAAATGATGTCCCAGGTAAATCTGGCACCAGATTTCAGGCTTTTCAGGGCAATTTGATAGAATACTTAGAAGTTTCCTAAGTATCAAAATGTTAGATTTTGCTTGTGTTGATTACCATGAAGAATCTATAAGACTAGCATCATCCAATTAAATTTAAGCCTGGGATTTTTGAGAGTTATTATAGCTCTCCCTGAATATAACTTTTGGACAAAAGTCTATTAAACTTTTATTTGGCCCTCACCTCCATCTGAATGGTGTTTGTAAGAGTTTCCTTGTTCTTTTCAGTTTCACATGTGCTTTTTGTTGCACATTCAGAACTGTTTCTGTTAGTGAATTGAAGGGAGGAGCTTCTGAGTTTAAGAAAGCTGTGTGGGTAGTATTTGGAAAATATTCTAGAGCCGTGTTTCTTAATCTTTGGCATCTTTGAGATATGTGGATCTCTATTCCCAGAATTCCCCAGCCAGCATAATGGAGAAATACTGCTCTAGACAGATTTCTGCAAAGTACAGACCCAAGCATTAATGAACACCTTTCTAACTTGGGAGTATTTTTATTCAACCTCTTTTTGGAAAAGTATACCCTTATTTTTCTCTCTCATACTTCAGAAATCTTGGTAGTTGGAGATTCTGCAAAAAAAACCCCAAAAGTAGTAGAAGCATCCCAACCCCCTTCACCTCTTGTCTTCTACATCAGAGGTCACCAACATTTGGGACACCAGGGATCGGTTCCGTGGAGAGAGGTTTTTCCGCAGGCCAGAGAGTGTGTGGTTTTGTGTGCTGCCTGCATCCCGTGGATGGGGCTTTGCTTGTTTGTGCGACCCAGTTGCTGGCATGCCATGGACTGGTACTGGTCCACAGACTGGGGGTTGGGGACCCCTGTTCTACATCACCATCACCATCACCTCCTCATTAATTATACTTGGCATTGCTTTTTCTCAAATATTTCATAGCTGTTAAACTAAGGCAGTCTTGGGCTGTTGTCTACGACTTTTGGGGTTCATGGTCCATTGCCATATGATCTGATAGTTGTTCTAAGGCAGCTCTCAGTGAAGAGAACAGGACTACTGAATCAACCAAGGTCATATTACAATCATATTTATCAGTATTATTAGGGGAAGGTGTGTGAGAGAGAAAGAGGGGGATAATGGACGATAAAAAAGAAATGGAAAAAATAAGGAGCAAGGAAAAGGAAATATATTTCCCTAGCCACTGAGAGCTTTGTCTATGTCCTTACTAGCTGTATGCCATCTTAGCTACTTTCTCCTTCTGGGAATGCAGCTGACCATCCTGACACCGATGTCCATCCCTATTCCTTGGCTCCAATAAGTCTGTGTCAGAGCAGGGATTTCTTTAGAGACAAAGCCGCAAGCTTGAATTTTTATACAGTGTATTCTTTTCCCATTATGGTGAAATACCATGAATTTGTCCTTCATTTAGTATTCCCCACATGTACTAGCACTACAAGTCCCAGAATTCTTAGCTAATATGAATCACCACTGTAAAATTCTGCACGATACGATCATTTCATGTATTTATTTTTGAGCAGGCTTCTTTCTCATTTGATGTTCTTTGAGACAGAATAAAAAGTAAATGAAAAGTCAATAATGTTTAAGCCAAGTAATTCACATTGCTTTTCCTGTGTGGTTTGTTTTCCATAGATCAGGAGTCCAAACTCTACCCCATAATGCCAAGGTTCACTACAACTATGCCAATTTTCTGAAAGACCAAGGCCGTGATAGAGAAGCCATCTACCATTACAAAACGGCACTCCAGTAAGTTCTCAGAAATATTCGTAACATTCATTTGTCCTTCTTCCACCATGGAAAAAAACAGACTGATAGCTGGGACATAGGACTGATTCATCCAGGGTGCAAAATTCAAGGGACGTTTGGGGCTGTATGTAACTCTTTAATTTCCACTTTCATGAGGCCTGCCTCAAATCTCTAGAGTAGCATTAGACATACATTTTGAGATCTGAAGGATCAAGCTTAGAAATTTGAATTGAACAAGTTCTAATGGGTACAAAATTGCAGAAGGGGTCCAGCTGGGCACCCTAAAAATTTTGTTCTATCGTTTTAGCTTTGAATAATTTGAGTGCTGAAGGGATATAGTGGCCACCTCTTGTCTTAAGTAATTTGACAACAGCAGATGAGATACAGATGAATATTTCCTTTAAATTATCCAGCTGATCAATTAATTTCCAGATACTTTTACTTTCTGAATCGGAGTTCATGCATTCTTTTGGAGAGAGCTTATGATTAATGCACTTTCTTGTCATAATCTCCATGCTTATTGTCAAAGGATGTCAAGTTTACAACTAGCCTGGTAAGAGGATGTTTATGTCTAAATATAACATATTGGCAAGGCTTTGCGGTTCTGGTTGCATAAATACATATATAATGCTATCAACATGCATAATCATTACCGGGAGGTATTTTTATGTTTCTTTAGAGAATGCTTTCTGAGCAAACGAAATATACAAATGTATTGCATTGGAAACAGAAAACTAACATCAGCACAAAAGAGATTGAGAAAGAGAAGAGGGGGAAACATTTTTCTTTAGTCCATTTACCTATTCAAAGTTGGCTGAAAATAATTTTCCAGCTCCAACAGATCTCTTGCACATGTTGCAAAAAGCTGTAATGTAATTTGATTTTGGCATAGTGGATTATTTTAATACAGCCATTGTGGATTTGTAAATCATAATTTATGTTTGTGCGCAGGAAGTCCTTGGTTTACAATCATTCATTTAGCGACCATTTAAAATTATAGCACCACTGAAAAAAGGCACTGAAAGCCAGTCCTCACACTTACAACCGTTGCAGCATCTCTACAGTCACGTGATCAAAATCTGGGTGCTTAGCTATTGGCATGTATTTACATCGGTAGCCATGTCCCAGGAACATGGGATCACCCTTTGCACCTTCCCAGCCAGCTTCCAAGAAGCAAAGTCAGTGGGGAGGCTGGATTCTCCTAACGACCACATGATTCACTTAACAGCAGTGATTTGCTTAACAAACATGGCAAAAAGGTCATAAATTTGGGTGTGATTCACTTAAGAATCACTTTGCTTAATATATGGAAATTCTGGCTCCAGTTGTGGTCCTATTTGGAGAACTACCTGCACACTCCCCTCTAGTAATAGTAGTAAAGTTGGAAGGGACCTTGGAGGTCATCTAGTCCAACCCCCTGCTCGGGCAGGAAACCCTACGCTATTTCGGACAAATGGCTGTCCAGTCTCTTCTTAAAAACTTCCAGTGTTGGAGCATTTACTGCTTCTGGAGGCAAGCTGTTCCACTGATTAATTGTTCTCACTGTCAGGAAGTTTCTCCTTAGTTCTAGGTTGCTTCTCTCCTTGATTAGTTTCCACCCGTTGCTTCTTGTCATGCCTTCAGGTGCTTTGGAAAATAGCTTAATTCCCTCTTCTTTATGGCAGCCCCTGAGATATTGGAATACTGCTATCATGTCCCCCCTTGTCCTTCTCTTCGTTAAACTAGACATACCCAATTCTAGCAACCGTTCCTTATATGTTTTAGCCTCCAGTCCCCTAATCATCTTTGTTGCTCTTCTCTGTACTCATTCTAGAGTCTCAACATCTTTTTTTACATCGTGGTGACCAAAACTGGATGCAGTATTCCAAGTGTGGCCTTACCAAGACATTGTAAAGTGGTATTAATACTTCACGTGATCTTGATTCTATCCCTCTGTTAATGCAGCCTAGCACTGTGTTGGCCTTTTTGGCAGCTGCAGCACACTGCTGGCTCATATTTAAGTGATTGTCTACTAGGACTCCGAGGTCCCTCTCACAGTTACTAATATTGAGCATGGTGCCACCTATGCTGTACTTGTGCATTTGGTTTTTCTTGCCTAAATGTAGAACCTTGCTTTTTTCACCATTGAATTTCATTTTGTGAGTTAGTGCCCAGTGTTCAAGTCTGTCCAGATCCTTCTGTATCTTAAGCCTGTCTTCTGGAGTGTTGGCTATTCCTGCCAGCTTGGTGTCGTCTGCAAATTTGATGAGTTCCCCATCTATCCCTTCATCCAAATCGTTGATGAAGATGTTGAAAAGTACTGGGCCCAGAACAGAGCCTGCGGCACCCCAATACACACTTCCCTCCATATAGATGCAGTTCCATTGAGGACCACTCGCTGAGTACGGCCGGTCAACCAGCTACGGATCCATCTGGTGGTGGTTCTGTCTACCCCACATTTTTCTATCTTGTCAAGTAGTAGGTTGTGATCGACTTTATCAAATGCCTTACTGAAGTCCAAGTAAATTATGTCCACAGCATTCCTCTGATCCACTAATTTTGTCACTTGGTCAAAGAATGCAATAAGATTTGTCTGGCATGATCTATTTTTGACAAACCCATGTTGGCTTTTAGTAATGACTTTGTTTGCCTCTAGGTGTGCGTTGATTCGTTGTTTGATTATCTTTTCCAGGATCTTCCCAGGTATTGAGGTCAGGCTGATAGGTCTGTAATTTACTGGATCCATTTTTTTTCCTTTTTTGAGGATGGGAACTACATCAGCTCTTTTCCAGTCCTCTGGTAGTTCCCCTGTGTTCCAGGATCTTTGAAAAATATAGTTCAGTGGCTCCGATATCACATCTGCCAGTTCCTTGAGAACTCTGGGGTGTAATCCGTCTGCTCCTGGCGATTTGAACTCATCTAGGCTGGACAGGTGCTCACTAACGATTTTCTTGCCTATCTTAACTTGTGTTTCTGTTTTGTTTTTTGTGGCACTATTTTTGATAGGTTGGTCTGTTTTTTCCCTTTGTGTAAAGACAGATGCAAAAAAATGAGTTAAATAGTTCTGCTTTCTCCCTGTTGCTTGTCACCTTCTTGCCACTTCCACCCACTAATGGACCAATCATTTCCTTCACTTTTTTCTTGTTTTTTACATGTTGAAAGAAGCTTTTTTTGTTATTTTTGACTTGGGTCGCAAGCCTTAGTTCATTTTGAGCCTTGGCTTTCTTCACTTCATCTTTGCAGGCTCGGGCTATTTGCTGATATTCTGACTTAGTTATGTTCCCCTCTTTCCACTTTCTATACTTGTCCTTTTTATCTTTCAATTTGTCAGAGAGTTCTTTATGCAGCCATGCTGGTTTCTTTTGAGAGCTGATATTTTTCCTCTTTGTTGGTATTGTGCTAGACTGTGCTTTTATTATCTCATTTTTCAAAATTTCCCAAGCTTCTTGAGTTGTTTTCCCCTTGAGGATTCTCATCCATGGAATCCTTCCCAAGCCCTCTCTAAGTTTATTGAAATTAGCTCTCTTGAAGTCCAAGACTCTAGTTTGACTGTGTTCTATTGGTTGTGCTTCTATAATGTTGAATTCTAATATTGCATGATCACTTCCTCCCAGGGTTCCTATGGCTCCAACACCGTCTATCATTTCATCTCTGTTAGTGAGAATTAGATCCAAAATGGCTAATCCCCTAGTTCCATTCTCTACTTTTTGGGAGACAAAGTTGTCTGCTAGGTTTGCCAGGAACCTGTTTGATCTTCCACTTGGTGCGGAGTTTGTCTCCCAGTTGATGTCAGGGTAGTTAAAGTCCCCCATTACTATTGTGATGTGCTTCCTACATACCTTAGTTAGCTGACTAGCAAAAAGTTCATCTATTTCCTCTGTTGTGTGTATCTCCTATCTATCTATCTATCTATCTATCTATCTATCTATCTATCTATCTATCTATCTATCTATCGTAATTATCTCTGTCTATCTACTGTAATGATTGTCTGTCTGTCTGTCTGTCTGTCTGTCTGTCTGTCTGTCTATCTATCTATCTATCTATCTATCTATCTATCTATCTATCTATCTGTAGCGCTACCCCCAAAAGGGCCGCTGGAGTCTGGGTTCTTCTGGCCATCTTCGGCTGGCTGCCAGTCTACAGTGGTCCCTCACTTAGGCACCTCTGCTTGGCTGGAACACGTGATGAGGTGGTGGTCAGTCTCACTCGGCAGGCAGGTCATGTGATGGGGTGATGGTCAATCTCTCTTAGCAGGCAGGTCATGTGCAGAGAAAGTGTTCAGGTGGCTGGTCAGCTCTTCTCCTTCTCCTTCTCCTCCTCCTTCTTCTTCTTCTTCTTCTTCTTCTTGCCCCACAGAAGCCTCTCCTATCCTATCCCCTTCTCTCCCTCAGGCTTGCCCCACAGAAGCTATCCTACCCCCTTCTCTCCCCCAGGCTTTCCCCATATAAGCCTCCCATATCCTATCCCCTTCTCTCCCTCAGGCTTGCTCCACAGAAGCCTCCCATATCCTATTCCCTTCTCCCTCAGGCTTACATCCTAAAAGCCTCCCCTATTATCTCCTCTCCCAGGCTTATCTTCTCCAACCTAGGTCTCAGCAGACTCAACTCCTCCCTGCCCTCTCCTGACTCCTCCCTCAGGCATCTCCCCATGTCTTTTCAGCTCACCCTACCCCCATTAATATCTATCTATCTATCTATCTATCTATCTATCTATCTATCTATCTATCTATCTATCTATCTATCTATCTATCTACCTACCTACCTAATGGTGTTGTTTCCCATGAAAGCAATGCTAGATAACAAGGACTACCTCTACATCAGTGGTTCTCAACCTTTCTAATGCCGCGACCCCATAATACAGTTCCCCATGTTGTGGTGACCCCCTAACCACTTATACATCACCGGGTGCCAGGGCGTGGCCAAAGAAAAGGGGGGGAAAATGGCGGACAGCCTTGTTTGGCGACCCCCGTGAAATGGTCGTTCGACCCCAAATGGGGTCCCGACCCACAGGTTGAGAACCAC